GCTCCTTTCCACAAATAATTCATATTCATTCTAAGAGCAACTTTTGTAATAAAAAAAAATCAGGGAACAACTTTATTGAAAGAACCGTGAGGAAAAGGGAACCATTGCTATTTATGTATGATTTTTTTGTTACTTAAGGGCTTAGCGGCATCTGCATAGACGCTCTTGCACAATTTTCGCAGCTGCCGTACCAGGCTTTCACAGGGTTGTTTCTGAACTTAGAAATAACCACAGATTATTCAGGAGTTATCTGTTTCCTTCAAAGCATGTTCTTTGAGGGTATTTTTAAAATACCCTCTAACTGTCACTGTTTACTGGTTCAGAAACAACTTGTTGCTTCATGGTAACTGTGGCACTGAAATAAAAGGAGAAAGGAAAGTAACTACAGATCTCTAGTACCTATTACTGTTTTAGTTTCCCAACAATCCTGAAAAACTGGGGCATAGGGTAAAAGGCTGCAAACTTCATTCAGCTAGAAAAATTACACCAGAACTATTGTGTGAGAGTCTTGAGCTGTTTTACAGCCATCACAGAAATAACACCAGGCACTGAGTTAGTTTGCATTGAGAGTACACAAAGTGGCAGGCTCCCTAACTCCCTGGTTTGACTTCTCCTAAAAGGCACTCTCATCTTTCCACTTTTAAGGCAAGCAGTATCTTTGATTTCATTTAATCAATATAATTAATGTATGTATTTTCTCATTTGTAGCTAATATATGATAGTTTTGCTCAGTATCTGGTAACGGAGAAGGGTTATGACAAAGACTTGCTGAATCTAACTCCAGAGAGCTTAGACTTCTGGTAAGTATGTTGATAATAATAAAGGCTGTCTTCAAACTTCCGTTTTTCTATAATTTGTACAAAGCTTGGAAAATAGCTTGTTTATCTTTAGACAATGGTTATTATGGTAGTGAAGCCCAATAGAAAATCCCTAAATTATAGCTTTAAATACTTATTGGAGCAAGTGTTTGTCATGAGCTACTTCTAACTTGGATATTTTCAAGACTGAACTGAATATCCAAGCTTGCTCTGTCTTGTGCTTCTAGCTCTTGAAATACAAGTTCTTGATCCAACTTTATTTCCCATTTTATATATCTCCTATGTCTTCTACCTTCAGTTCAACTGGTAAATCCACTAGCTCTCAGGAGTTAGTCATATTTCATTTTTCTATTGACAGATATGTTTTTGTTTGTAATGTGTTTGATATGTGCTTGTTCTGTAAGGCAGGATAATTCCAACAGTCTTCTGAGGAACAGTGACGTGCCAGGGAGAAGCTTAGGAATTGCCATTCCTGGCAACTAGGCACCAAGCTATAAAGTGGAAAAATGAAAAGCAAGTTCCTGGTCTGAGCTGAGTGATCCCTGAGCAGGAATTTAGACATGGGTTTTTTATATTCCAACCTTAACAGACTATTATCTAGGTCTGGGAAGGTCGGCGGGGCGGGATGGGGCTTGAAGGCTTGGTTATTACCATTTTTAATAACAGAAACAACATGTTTTTGAACAAATACATGATGTGCAGAAAAAAAAAAGGTCAGTTGTTTTCACAACTCAGTACTTGCTGTTTTCCAACCAGGTCTACTTTCCTCTTTCATGTGACAAGAAAAATATCAGTATTCATCACATTCTGTGATTTTGGAGGCATACAATTTTTTACTAAGATGTAGATACCCAGACTTCAGTCCTTTTTTGGATCTGGAGGTTTATGGTAAAGGCCCATGCAGTCCCAAAGCGCTGGCAACTCTCTCTGTGCTGCTCTCCCAGGCTTCGCATCAGCTTCATCCACAAAAGGCTCAGGTCTGCGTGCTGCCTTTGTGGCATCCCAACTTTCTTTTGGGTATCTTGTGATAGAGGATGAAGAAGACATTACTTCTTTTTTTTTTTTTTTTTAGTCTTTATTGTTGTTCTAGAGGTTGAACACTGAACTTGTATTTCAAACAACCGAAACTAACATAAATTCACTTGTACCTTACAGATGTAAGCTACAAATCTCCTAGTGGAGCTAAGAACTCAGCAGAACATCTGCAGTGCCTTGTGCCTGTGCATCACCTTACTAGCGCTGCCTAGTAAGGCATTGCTGCTGCTTCTCGTGCTCCTTAGGCATTCAGTGCCTCGTAGAGATTGCTCTTCTGCCTCTTTCTCCATTAGTGATTGATATTATGAAACTAATAGTAGAAAAGGTAATGAAGAATGTAATGTAATGAAGAAAAGGGTTTTTTTTTGTTAATAATAGAAGTAACTTAAATATCACATTTCTTAGTTCTATATGTTTGAACCTTAGTCCTCCAACCTTATCTATATGATTAGTCACACTGAACTAACTTAACAATGGAACAGGATTTATTTAGTAGGAATTTGCTATGTAAGTGAAATCCTGTCTTCATTGTAATAATATGTACTTGCATATATGCAGCATTGTTCAAACATGGAAGTGTTTGAAGGGTTGTGATTTTGGTGCTTTTGTGTAGCATCATTGTATAGCTTCTGTAACTGCATTTCATTATTGTGGTATATAATGAAGCATTTCTCTGAAAGCCTTCATTGTTTCTTCCTTTAAATAAAATTATATGCAGTTGTAAAGGCTTGGTGTTTGACCTTGAAGATGGAAACTTCCTGAAACTTGCAGAAGATGGAACGGTTTTGAGGTAATATTGCCAACATATCTTTATTGCTAAACAAATACCAACATTTTATACTCTTTCTAAAAGCCATCTCTGAGTTTAAACATTTACATGAATATATGCTGAAATTAGTACGTAAAAGTTTAAATACTCTTTGATAGCCTAGTGCTTAGTTTCTTTTAATGTTTCTTAAGTGTTTTTTTCATAACATTTCTGCGTTAGCTGCCAGTGAGGAATATCTATTTTTAATAAGCATCTGTTGAGTTTTGTACTGTGCTTTTTCATCAGACTATATATTAGTCAATGCTGTGGCTCAGTACAGATTTAGTGCTTATTTTTCTGCCTAAGACTCTGACTGCATACTGATCTTGAACCTACATTCACTCTTTCAATGGCTACCGATATATTCTTTGCCCAATTCTGCAAGGATCCAGGTTTTTTTTATTGTTAATTGTGAGTAGCAGCACTGACTTACAGTTAGTCCTGTTGGCTGATGCTAACGCTATAGGCAGAAGCTCTTTTTGTCATTCTGCCTTGCACTCTGTGAGAACTGCAGTACCTCAAGAATGGCATATAGGATCTGTGCACTGTGTTTTATTGGGCAGTGCATATTGGTAATTTAACGTTCTCACACAACTGAGAATATTAAATATAATGGAGTGATTGTGTCAGCAGGTAAAACACAACAGGCATGCCCCAAAATGATCTGTCCTGTGTGTACTATGCTTTCAATTTGTGGAGGATTGTAATGCATATGACAAAACCTTAGGTCCTAGAAAACTTAGCAGTCGTAAGTAGAGCTACGTCTGAAGTGAACATCAGCTTGTAGATATCTACACCACTATTCAATACATTACTGTGCATTGGAAGTAGTTTGGCTGCTGTTAACTTTTTTTTTTTAAAATAACATCTTAATACATCAAACAGGGCAAGCCATGGTACTAAGAGCATGACATCTGAAGAGGTCCTAGAGACTTACGGAAGAAGGGAATGGAAGCATTTTAGTGCAGTCAGTGGAATGCTTTCCCGCTCAGGTACGGGCATCTTGATATGCTGTGTTCTTCAAAATTGCTCTGGCTATTTCAGCGCTCCCTAGGATTCATTCTTACTACAGATGCTTCAAATTTTTAGAAATATTTTAAGAGATTACTGGAATATGTAGGTTGTTGGAGGGGGGAACTCATTATACTGTAAATGTCTGAAAACAACCAACCTCCTGCCAAAACTGCAACCCATCAGGGGAGCACCTGGTGCTTCTGCTCTGGCTGGTTTAAGAAAGAGCAGTGGCTGCTGGTGCCTGGAGATGCAGGAGACATGTAAGGACACGTGTGCCAGCAGTCACAGGAGAAGACACAAAGGAGGACATGTGAAGAGAATTTTGAAGAGAGCCATTTGAAAGAACAGAACAGAGGAGGCATGTGGGAAGGGGCATAGCTGGAGACACAGCTGGAGATGCTCTCTCTTGGAGAGGTGCTCCATGCTGGAGGAGATGCCTCTTAGGGACCATAGCCACACATTGCCCACACTGGGGGGACCACACCTGGGCAAGTTCACTGCAAGGGACATTGCTTAGATCTACTTTGTTACTCAGTACCTGAATCAGCCATTCAAAGTTTATGGCAATAAATGAAATTAAGATACATTCCCAAGTCAATCCCACAAAATTTACTGCTAGGAACATTTTTTGAAGAGTTGTATGATGCTGCCCTAACTCTTAACATACTCCTATTCCCCCCTCTCCACCCCTGCTTTTAGAATGATAATAATTATTTCTAAAATCTCACTGCCTTGTTAATGTATAGATTAGCAACTTTCCATTGTTAATTGAGTGAAGCTCAAAGACTGAATAAAGCCTAACAAATTTATCATTAGATTAGGAAGCAGACAATGTTTGTTACTGGTAAATCCAAATAGGAGTTTATAATAACAGTATTTTTATTACAAGTATTATTATTATTTTGTAATTAAACTTTAAAATGTGAATTAAAGGAAGTATTTTGAAGTAGCTGATTTTTTTTCTTTTTTTTTCCAGCTAAATACTATTTGTATGATAATTATTTTGACTTGCCAGGAGCACTCCTTTCCGCAAGGATTGTGGACAGCTTAGATCAGGTAAGAAATAGATTGTTTTAAACAAAATATTCTGTTATCTTTTCCTCATTATAAAATACATGCAGATACTGTATTCAACAAAGTTAAGGTTTGTTGCTTTTTTACTGCTTTGGAACTTTACATTCTGGATTTATAGTGTATTAATGTTATCTCCCGAGTTAATTGTGAGATACGTGGCAAAGTCGAAATGCATTTACTTCCACCAGAGGGCACAAATAACTTGCATAAGATTAGGTAAATACATTTTGCTTAAGTTTACTCTTTGATATGTAGAGTACTGTTCTTTAAATCTTTTTGAATTATGTTTGGCGGCACTTAAATAATGTCTAACTCCTCTGGAGAAAAATGGCTTTCTAATTTGCAGGACTGATGAATGAGTTAAAGGTTTAATTCCATCCTCTTTAAACTGTTTTTGTCTTAAACATATTGATCTGATATAAATAAAGCTCTAGAGTAGTAGCTGATTTTGCTGCTGCTGTTTTGCTCTGCTAAGCAACATGTTCAATTCTCAGGACAAGACCCCGCTCCACCCCCCCCCCAAAAAAAAGCAATTGCTTGAACTTATTCAATGCTTTATAGACAGACAATATGTCCTAAATTTTACTGTGAAGTTAAAAAGTCCTTAGATTTGGTTGTATTTTCTTCCTATAGAGTAAATATCCTTGTTGCAATAAAATGCTGCTCTAATCTTCTGGCTGTAAGCTACTGGCTAAAGATACCAAAGCATCACCACACCATTAAAAATTGCAGATCCTAAACTGTGTCCACAAAGTGGAATTCAGAGGCGTGGGGGAGGTGCCTGCAGTCCCACGGCGCTCCGTTCCAAACAGCGTGCTGAGTAGATTGGTGTCTAAGTGCACCCGCTACCTGAGGAGTTATCTAAAGCTAGCTCCTAGGAGGGCTTGGGGGTAGGAGCATCATGAGACATTTAATGGGATTTTAGTGGCTGATTAATCTCCCTCCCCTACTGTCTGCAGCTTAGAACCGTCTCTCAGAAGTGACAATTGTCTCGTGCTACTTTGCTTTGTATTTAATGTAGTCTCATGTCGAGTTACCTATTTGTCGAGAGAAGGGTGGTGCTGAAGCAAGCCATAGCATGTGTGTAACACTCATGTGCATCCAGTTACTAGTTCAGAAGCTGGAAGACCGACCCTGTCTTCAGCCGGAGAGAATTAAGGCCATGTCTTCTTTTCTTAAAGAGCTACTGGAATTGGGTCATGCATATTTATCAGCTAGCAATTCTGGAATATTTTACTGCATGTTGGTCCAGTTTCAACAGGAGGACTAAAGTAATTAATTTGCAGGGATGCTATCATCAGTGAGATGAGTAAAGACACAAGATGAGAGATGGTGGGTTAAACCTTTCCAGCACTCATGCCCTGGACACATGCTGCAATTGTTAATCTATTTTTCTGAGAGGGTAGAGACCATCACATTTTCTTCCGCATTTTTAAAAGAAAATAGATGCTTCTGCTCCTTGCTATGGGACTGTGTTCAGTAAAGGCTGTTTTTTCATCCCCTTTCCAGAAGATATTTTAAGTAAGATAAGATATTTAAGATATTTAGTAAGAAACTTTCTGGAAATAGACACTATTTCCAGATTTGGAGATCAGTATGGGTTTAGTTCTGAAGTGGGCCCTGAGCCACTCTAGCCTGTTACAACAAAGTTGTTCCTAAGCTGTCCTGGATGCTTCAGAGAAAGCAGAGGAGCTTCTTGGTGACTTGGACTTTGCACTGAAGCTCTATGTAAAATCTTTGTCTCGTACTTCAGCTAAGAAATACCATTCGATAATCCCTGTCAGATTCATGGTGGACTGAGTGGGCCTTCACCCAGTTTCTATTATTATAGAAATAATAGTAATAATGAATAAAAATTATGATAAGCATAATAAATAATGACATGCTTCGATACTACAGCTTGTTGGTTGTGAAATTAAAAGAAAACTGTTCGTCCAGAGGACCCAGTGGCAGATGAAGCCTGAAATATCAATTTACTTCACCACATAAAAATGCCATGTTTTCTCCTGGAGACATTAAGTTTGTTCCAATTAAGTTTTTGCAGTTATTGAAAACACCTGATGCTTACAAAGAAGGTCATTTTTCATGTACTGGTGCAGAAGCAGGCTGACAGGTTGAGAACACAGAGGACAGTGACATGAAATCTGTCGATAATTGCATCAACATATCTGCTTAGGTAGGCGTGGAAAGCCTGTAACAACACTATAAAAATAATTTCCACAGTGTCCAAACTTAGAGGTATTCCAGACTATACTCCCTGCTTACTGCTGCCCTGTAGCTCTGAGTGCCTCTTAGGAGCTCCATAACTAACCCTCTACTCTGTAGCGTGGTCTGGCTGCCTTGCTGCGTGTGTGTTTAATTCAGTGCTAGGAAGGTTGGTAGCATTGGGGTGCAGCTACTGTGGAAGCTTTTCCTCTCCCTGTGTGCGATCCTGCAAGGGCAGCTGAGGTCGGGTGGAGCGTTTCTGCTCTCTGCTCCTCAGATGGCTTTCTAGGAATGGCGAGAGGCTATTTGTAAGCATGGATTGCTTTTCCTTGTCCTTCTGCCAGAGCTAAGGTTTGGCAGTGGTCAAAGTACAATGCAACACAGCGCTGCTCAGCCTGGTCCCTGGCTAAATGTTTTATATCATGCTTGGGGTGGAGTTGCTGGCAGAAGGACATGACCACTAAATACTAGTGAATGTTTGTGCCAGTTTGAAGAATGGGAGGTGATAGGAATGCCAGACTTTAGTACAGAATATGCAGCCCCAGGAACTTCTTTTTTCCCAAATATCAGTGGGATGGTTCATTCAATAAGTTGCTGTTCCACTTACTGCTGCTCTTTGCGGTAGTGTTTTAGAGTTCCTCACAAATATTAATCCTTTCTAGTTTATCCTCCCTTGTGTCTCCCCTCACCATATTCTCCTGAAGAAGGAAGGTAGTTTGTCTGTGGTCACTCAAAGTTCATAGTCAAGACAGGTTCTGAGTCCTGGGCTCCTAAATTCCACTGACTAAGGCTGTTTTACTCCTTTACAAAATCTTCTTATTTATTCATGGCATTCCTATCATTGTCTTGTTACGTAGGGTAAAAATGACTGATGTTTGATGTAATAACTAGGTTCCATTCACTCTTACAGCATGATAAGCAGAAAAAATATGACTTTTGGAAGGACATGGTGGCTGCAATCCAGCATAATTATAAAATATCAGCTTTTAAAGGTAAGTGGGTTCACTGAAAGCTTATTATAATAGCTGAAAATATTGCATGTGCTTGCCAGAGTAGAGACGAGTACATCTGTAAGTATCCTGTATTTTACTCAATGCAGTTTCTACATTTCCAGCTTCTAGTTTTATAGTAGACATGTTTAAGCTGAAATAGAAAATCTTTACGCTTAGCATTTGTATGTAGTTTATTTGGAATTGTTTTGATCTCCTTAAAAACACTTGTGATGTGCTGTTTCACTGAATACAAAGGGAAAAATAATTTTCTCACATGGTTGGTACTGTGCTATGGGCATCCTTGAACTGTTTTTAAACTATGTTCTTCCTTGTGTTCTTGTATTCATGAATAAAATATATTGAAAAACCTTAAGTAGCTACTGTTTGATACATTTCCTTTAGCACTCTGGCTTTGATCAGTACTCATTATGTGGCTACTTGAGGCAGTGGTGAGAATGCTGTGAGGTTTTTGTTTGTTTGTTTGTTTTTGAGCTATTTTGAAATTCAATTTAGCAGAAATTTCAGAAGATTTTTTTGTTAAAGATAAGAAACCTTCCCCCACCAAAAATGTAGTGTATATTGGAACTCGAAAACAACTTGGATCCCTTCAGCTAGTAATGGTTTTCTTTCACGGACTAAACTTCTTAGTTTCTATTAAGTATATAAAATAAGTGAGTTGAGAATAAATGTTAATGATCTTGCATGTGCATTCAATTAAATGAAATTATTTTTGCCCTTTTTTTTTTTTTTTTTGGAAAAAGATTATATGCAGCTTGGCTGAGAATTTCCTTATCATCTTTGCTGACATTGTTTTCTGATAGAATTACCTCTGTTGATGCAACACTTACTAGATACAGACATAGTTTAGATCTTAAAACTTGTCTTCTGCTCGTTAGAGATGTAGTTTATGTTGAATTAAGTAGTTGGGTTTATTGCATTTTCTTTTCAAATGTACCTGACAAAATACATATTGTGAAATGCAATTGTTTACTTGTTAGGTGCTTTGCTTAGTTTGTTGTTGTTTCTGTGTCCCCATTGAAGGTTGGAGTACGTATGATAGTTAAGAATTCCTCCAACAACTTATTTATGCATGAGATAAAAGCATCTTATGTTTCTGGCTGATATTAAAGAAATCGGTTATAATTAACCATAACTGTATTTCTTCAAAGGTTCCATTAATTCTTTGTTTTTAAATCATGACTGCTGTTTGTTTTGAAAGAGTAGATTATTCAGAGTTCAGTAAAAGAATAATTTTTAAAAGTGTTCTTTGGAGAGGAATGAAAAAAGTTTATCTGCTCTGAAAAAAAGTAATTTTTTATACATATAAATATGGTCTCAAAACCTACCTATTTGTGTATTTAAGTATGGAACTGGCATGTGTGTGATATGATTTGATCCTTTCTAATCTGTACATTCATTTAAAGAAATCTCTCTGTTCCAAAAAACGTATGGCACATGCACAAGAGCAATACAAATTTGGATAACACGGTAACTGCTAGATATGAGCCTTTTTGAATAGGTTTTGTGAAATCAGAAGTTGTAGGACAATGCAGATTACACACAGTACTTAAAACTTTTAATGTATAAAAGTGCTAAGGTCTGTCTTACATCTCTTTGAAATGCTTCATAGTGGCCTTTACTTCAGTAACACGGTCCTAAGGATAAAGCACTGCAGGAGTTCAGGGGAGCTGGAGATTTCCTCCTGTGCCATGTACCCGTGATATTCCTAGGGAACATCTGTTTTTGCTTCAGGTTCTCCTCTGTGGAATGGAAATCACGATACTAGGCTTCTGCCACAGGTTTATGCCAAGAGAATTGTAGAGTTTTGAGTTGTTCTTGGTGGTGGTGGTGGTGTGTTTTTGCTTTTCCCCTCAGCTGCCAGCGTAGCGTAACTTCCTGAGGAAGCTCTCAAAGCTGGCTCTAGCCCAGTTTTACATATCATGGTCTTTCTCAACCTGGGCCTGCAAACCACAGCCTCTTGCCTTAACTCCATTCCCTCAGTGCCTTGCAGATGGTTTAACCCTTCAGAGAGAAACAAGGCTCCCTCACAGGTAGTCAGGGTAAATTTTGTAAAGCAAACATATTAAGTGCTTGATTGAGGAGACGTAAAGTTCCCAAGTCTGCTGTCTCAGTAGTGCCATTGTCAGTGACGGAGCAGAACGACTGGCAGTTTTATTTTTTAAAACCCGTAAAGTGTTTGCAAGTCACTCTGGCTCTGGTTTGTTGTCAGTATGCCCTGGTTTCTCTGTGTCCCTTCTCCTTTTCACATGATTTCTTTGATCATTAGTCAGGTGTCTGGTGGATTTTGCTTTTCATTGTCTTGGCCATGGTGATTACCTTAGATAATTGGCCTTTTATACTTTTTTTTTTTGGATGGCTTTTTCAGATAGCCATGATCATCCTGACTTCCAGCTTAATGCAGGAGATTAACCCCATCTTCTCTTTTTAAGGAAGTGAAAAACTGAGACTTGCAGAAAAAACATAAAATAGAAAGAACGTAAGATCCTAAACAGTTGTCTTACTCAAATCCTCCTTTGTGAAGGAGAACCCTCGAAAACTGAGGGAATCTATTAAAAATCCTCTTATAAAAACATGATGTCAAGATAGTAAAAGCACAGTGACAGAATAGTAGTGAACGTAGACATTCTCATTTTCAGGAAAGATCATTTCATACCTAAGAATACCGCTAGAACGGTCACCCAAATTTTTTATATCAGTTGTAGACAGCAATTTTGTGAGAATTTTTTTTTGTAAAACGTAAGTTTTGCTTAAGACTGGGATATTTTGCTGCTTTAAGGTGGTTAATATTGCTCATGTGTATTTCATTTAGCATATTTTCTGTTTTTCAGTGTATGAATTAGTAAAGAGCAATTTTGAAGGAAATGCCATGTGGCAATATGGTTTACACTGTATAATTATGCCTCTTATCACAATACATTATGGAAATTGAATTTGATCTTAAAAAGAGTAATATGAAGCATTTCTGCATCAAAATATTTGTGGTTTTTGGCAGAAAAAGAATCTATATTTTTTCGGAAATATTTATATTAAAACTTCTTAAATCAGAATTTTATAGAATGTCTCTTAAAAACTCGTTCCTCTCTCACGTGGTTGTGTTTCCGTATCATTTCCCTGACACTTTTGGTACATAGAACAATTGCAGCTGTATAGTTTAAATATACATTTATGGTATTTTCAGTTGCATCATATGGCTATATTTTATGCTGGAAGAAAAGAGTCTTCATAATTTGCTCGTGAGAAGACTTGATGAGATATGCTGTCAGGTTTCAAGGGTGCGTCTGAAAAATTTGTCACTGAGTATCTTAAAAAAAAAAAAAGTAGGTGCTAGTCATAACACCTTTTTTGCATTTTATCTTCCTGTTTTTGATGTAGTTGATCAGTATTCTGAAATGCCATGTTTATACATGTGAAATGTGATTTCTTTTTGGCAAGGGAGATCTTCAGATTTTTCTAAAATACTCCACCTTCTCCCCAAGCTGTTTCACACACGCACGCACTTTGTAATCACAAGTTTATGGCATTGCCCTGCCATATTGTTGTCTTGACAGACCATAATTTATCTAGATGCCAGAGATCTCTCTATGCTTTATATGCGATTTTAAATACAACAAACAAAAACCAGAGAGGCTTTTCTGTCTGAAAGGAAATAATTTTAAAAAATGCTGTAAAATGTTAGGAATTCCTAATATAGATAGAGTTTAGAGAAAAGAGGCCATTATTTATATTAATCTGAAAATGACAACAAAGATAATGATTGAGCAAATTTGTTACACTTTTTTTTCCTTGACTTTTCAGCTAATAGAGAAGAGATCATTTGCGTACCTCATACATTTGGTAACCATCTCAGAACAACTGAAATTCAAAAATCTTTTTGCAGCCTTTGAACATGAGTTCTTGTGCTCTTATTTGTGCTTTTATTTAATCTTTCATTTAATCTCATAAAGGAGTTTTTTTTTTCCTTTAATGCAATGATTCTGAAAACTGTTGATGTTTTTGAAAAGAGCTTTTAATAAGATTAGCTGTTGATCTTCTTGTGGAAAAGATATTAAAAAACAAAAAAACAAAAATAGACCTATAAGACAAATACAAATAAAGTGCTTTAAAAATCCTCAGTCTCCCAGGGAGAAGAGTTGAAGGGTACTGTGATTTTGACTGTTCTTTCTGGGCAATGTGACTGTCACCCGTATTATTGCCTGATTGCATCTACCTCTTCCAAAGCCCGGCATGCAGAGGCCATGCAGTTATTTTCCAGTAGTCTGCTCTTCCTGCCTCAGCAGCATATAAATGAATTGACTTCTTTGAAATAATTCCTCATAATGATTAAGAATCTTAAAAACCCTCTGAGGGTTTCTTCTAGGTCATGAATCCAAAGCTAAAGTCAAGGTATAAGCTGTGTTTGTATCAGAATTTTCTGTGTAATCTCTAGATCTTCAGTGGTTTTGGTTGCTTTCTTAATATCTGCATGCTTATGAAAAGTCATCAAAAAGACAGTTCTTGAGTAATAATTTGTAGATTTATCTGAGGACCTGTATGCTTGCTTGCTGGAGGAGCAAAGACATGAAAGGAGAAAACCTCGTTTCATTTAAAGTGCATAAAGATAAGTATTAGTGAACTTTACTTACAAGGATACAGTTTGAAGACTAGTTAATTAGAATTACAGGACATTAATATACTGCTGGACACCTCAGGCAATTTAAACATGTGCTTTGGCCTGCATTTCACATATAAAGCAATTAAGTAAAACTTGACAGCTACCGAGCAGTCTTTTCCATTGTCGGTTGTTTTTGAAACAAAAGTGCCAAATCAGTTGAATGTATTGGCAGCAGCATATGTTATGTTTAAATACTGGAAAGATGAATTAATGAATTTATGCAAGTGACTTCATAGGGAAACATTTTAGTACAAAAAAGAAAAGAGAGAGAGAATTCTTAGCAGACCTGGAATTAGTTTTCATTTAAAACAAGAAAATGGAAAGGTGA